CGTTAAACGTACGTAGAGAGTATAACTAACAACTACACTAATACTAACTAATATATATATATATATATATATATATATATATATATAAGTATAATAGTGAAACAGACTACTGAATTAAATCAATAACAAGTTCTCAGTTGTTGAATCAATTGTGTTTTAATATCACCAATTCCAGTCAGTCAGTCAGTCAGTAGACAATAAAATGACGTCACGTAAGGGACGCCTAACGTTGCAATTTGTAATATCGTGACGTTAGTAAAACGTGAGTATGTCACGAATCACGAGAAGAACTGTACACTCTGTAGGCTACAACTCAGCATGACATATGAACTTGAAAGGCAAGAAATATAAATATTTGTTTTTGGTTTTATTTACTCTTGAAACAGATCTCTTTCAGGGCCCCTTCATAAGTACATATATAGTTTTATATACATTAATATGGAAATGTTCTTGTGTGATTGATACGGAAATCGAAATGTTTTTGTTCTTTCTTGTTGAAGAGATACAGATACTTGAATTGCAAATAAACAGAAAAATGTATCGGAGTTCGATATCTGTGGTGGGCACAATGCACATAGACCATTGTTTTTACGTTTTATATGTAAATAGAAGTCTTTAAAATTATAATATCATAAGCTTGCGTTGAAGAAATTGTAAAACAACACTGATTTGAATAAGTGTCTGTTGGAAAAATATCTATGTATCTTAATTATACTTTTTAATCAAACCTTTCTTACAACGTTTTTGACAGACAAACTGTAATAACAATCCCTGCCAGCATAATGGGACCTGTCACGAAAACCTGAACTACAAGAAAGGGTTTAAGTGTGACTGTCCCCGAGGTTATTGTGGGGAGAGATGTGAACAATGTAAGTAATACGTTTGAGTTGTTTACTTTTATTGCAGTACAAATTAGCTTCAGTCTATAAACATTGTTCTTCTTTGCTGTATTTGTATTAGTTTTCTGTTTATTATAAGCAAGAAGCTTAATAGAACGGGGTTAATCATAGCGATCCTAAACTGTGATCGGAGAGTTTATATTTCACGTCCCGTTGTCGCGAAAACGCGTTCGGCACTTTAGAGCCATTCGTGCGTTATAATTGTGACAGTTAAGTTCCATTATTCGGGGCCCGGCATGGCCAGATGGATAAGGCGCTCAACTCGCAATCTGAGGGTCGCGGGCTCGAATCCCCTCTCCCACCAAACATGCTCGCCCTTTCAGCCGTGGGAGCGTTATAATGTGACGGTCAATCCCACTATACGTTAGTAAAAGAGTAGCCCAAGAGTTGGCGGTGGGTGGTGATGACTAGCTGTATTCCCTCTAGTCTTACACTGCTAAATTAGGGAGGGCTAGCGCAGATAGCCCTCGTGCAGCTTTGCGCGAAATTCAAAAACAAACAAACAAACCATTATTCGGTTAAAAAAGGGTAGCCCAAAAGTTGACTAGCTGCATTCCCTCTAACCTATCAGCTCGAAGTAGAGACAGTTATGTGCAGGTAGCTGTAGTGTAGCTTTGCGTGAAAATTCTAAACATATAAAGAAACAATTTCCATCATAACTTTAATTTCATTTATGAGTCAGTCATCTTCTGATGTTCATAGTAAACGAAAGCGTTTTTAGAAATTTTCCTTATCCTAAAAAACAATGTAAGATTCAAAGATTTGTATTATGTCACATGTTTTCAAACAGTGGTGGACAAGGCTATTCTTAGCACCATTTTCACTGATGCGACTTCATAGCCTTTAGTTTTGGATACGACATATCCCTGGTTGCAAGTCAGGCAGTTGAACTCATATATGACTGAACCGGTTGTTTTTGTTTAATTCCACGCAAAGCTACTCGAGGGTTATTTACGTTAGTTAACCCTAATTTTGAAGTGAGAATCCAGGGGAATCGGATAGTTAACGCCACCAAACGCCAACTCGTGGATTACTCTAATAGAATAGTGAGATTTGACTGTCACGGCTGAAAGGGAAAGCATGTTTGATGACGGGATTCGATTCCGCGACCAGCAGATTGAGTGTCAAGCACCTAAACCACCAGGCCAAATCAGGCCATGACCGGAAAGCTACTTGATCTGTACGTATTATCTATCAGTTAATAATATGTGTTTGAAAATGAGTGTGCTATCGTTTATCATAAACAAATTTTGAATCAGTTTTTTTAGAATATATTTTCAGAAAAGTGAAGAATTTTAGGCAGAGCGAAGAAAAATGAGTTTATTCTGAACTTTGGATATGTAATACCATCTTCTTGTTAAAAAAAATGCTGAACAATATAAATTTTACAACATTTTTATGATGTACCTTACAGATATCACGTATTTAATTGTGATGTTCATTACGGACATTCTTTAGCAAAGGTTACTTAAAACCATATTTACCTAACAATTAATTTCTAGTTTAAGGTACACTTGCAGTACTTAATAGAACCTCTTTGAACCTTAAGGTTCTTTCTTCCTTTCTTTTTCATTTTATTTTGAAAACTGCGGATGACGTTAAAGTGAAATTATTGTATTGTCATGTCGCTGAAAACGTCTTCAAGACGATATATGTATTGGCAACTACTCAAAGTGACATGAATTAATTGTTCTTAAAATACTGTGTTTACACGTAACAAGTTTTTGTGTATTAAAATAATAATTAAATATATGAGAAACATTTCTTTTATTTGTGTCCAAATATGATGTATCAATCTACTAAGAGAGATTTCCACATCCAAATTCAAAGTCAAATCAATCAGAAATTCTGTATTAATTTTTGAAAAGGAGTGAATTGAGAATATATTTTAATGAAACCGCGAAATATATTAAGTATACTGTGTTATATGTATCCATATTATATTAATTCTAAATATAAGATAGAAACTCTTCTTTTACGCGTACACACTTGTTTTTAATACATTATTAATGACTATAATTTTATATAAGAGATTGAAATATATAGATCACAAGAAATATAACATCAGAAATAAATTAAATTTGAGTTATATTTTATTACAGTTTACTATGACGTTACCTACGACGCTTGCACCCTTGGAAAAGACTTGAAGGGCGTAGATGGAAACACCTTAGAATATTGTTTAGAGTGGTGTCTAGAAACACCTAACTGTCATTCAGTAGACTTTGTTCACTCAATAGCGAGATGCGTTTTAAATGATGACGATCACACCGATATTGGCCTTCAAGAGGGCTGTGCAGGGCAGAGTGAGGCTGCTTATTACTATATAAAAGACGGATGCGTTAATTAAACTCTAGATTTTTTTTATCCCCACTTCTAAATATTTTACATAATGCACTAATATTACTTAAATAGATGCTTAAGAAAACTTAATCTTTAGATTGATATTTGAAGATAGCAATAAATGATTGAATTTATGCATGAGGAAAAATATGATTTTTTATTGACGTATAGAAGCAATAAAAGTTCACGTGACTGTTTACGGAAAAATAAAACTGGAACTTTACATTTCTAAAATTAGAAGTTTAAGAATTTATCACATAAGAACCATTTACACGACATGAGCCTATAAAGTCATAACTATTAAAGTAAAATTTAAATTTTCTTATACCGAGTCTAGAAATTGAATATTTGGAGAATCAAAGTATATATATATATCCATGGTTTGAAATACTTGCTGTGAAACTGTTATTTGCCTTTAATCGCTTTCAATTCTATGCTTGTCTTTTTTTTTTCTTTACCTTTGTGGTTTGCAATAAAACTCTTAATCAAATATCTATGAGTGATTCATAATAAACTGCTTATTACAGACATATCATAGGAAAATATTTCAAGAACTCCATGTGAGTTGGACATCTTATTTCTTATCTTTCAGCTTAATTCGATATTTTAGGCTTATGTACCAAACACAAAAACGCGAAGTAAGAACATAATCAAAAGATGAATGCTACAGTGGGAAGATAAGTCCAAATAAATTAAAGTTGAACAGAAAATTCTTTGTGGCGTTGGATTACACCGATACACAAACAGGAGAAAATAATTCCTTCTCTTAATGCGATCCTAACACAAATTGGAAAGAGTCACTCCCGTCTTAACATAAGTACAAACAGGAGCATAACATCTTTCACATTTAAAGTACTTAAGCTGTAAAATATGTAAATAACGTTATAAATTGATGTTCTTTCCTATGGATGAGCTTTATTAGTCAATAGGAAACGAATAATTGTACGAAAAATGTCACATAGGTACAAATATTAATATACAAACATAACTTGCTCCACGGTGGCTCAGCGGTAAGTCGGTGGACTTATAACCCTAAAAACTTGGTTTCGGTACTCGCGGCGGGCATTGTGTAACTTTATGTTTAATAACAAATAAACATCAATTGAAATCATAAAACTAAAATAAAAATACGAAAATTCACGATTTACTGCGCATATTAACAATGAATATTGTGAGGTAATCATTCAAGGTGTTTTTATAATCAATTTTATTGGGTTAACACAACGAATTAGTATTTCTTTTAGTGTTTACACCATTCTTTATTTTTAGGTGTTCAAAAATTTCGACATAAAACTACATTCTCAGTTACAATGTTGTTGTTGTTGAATTTCGCGTAAATCTAATTGAGGGCTATCTGCACTAACTGTCCTTGATCTTGAAGTGAGAGAATACAGGAAAGACAACTAGTCAACAACACCCCCGCCAACTCTTAGGGTACTCTAATCAAATAGTGGGATTTACCGTCACATTATATAACCCCCACGTTTGAAATGGTGAGCATGTTCGCTAACTGTAGGTTGCGAGTGGAGCGCACTAAGCACTAGGACATATCAGGCCACAGTTACAGTGAGACAAATTTATTCTTACCAACATTGTTAGGTATATTACTGAGTGGTCAATTTTTGTTGTCACTGAAGTTTAAATTTTTTTAAAGTATATATATATATAAGAATCAAGAATCTGTAAAATATAAAGCTATGCTATTTGAATATCACAGTTGGGTTTTCATATAGAATTTTTTTATCTCTTCCAAATATTTCAAGTGTCAAGTTCGTTGTTGAAAATGATATCTACGTTTAAATTAACAGAACAGAGGAAACACCAGCAGGAAACTTTTGTGTGCACTTAAATTTTTGTTTGTTTGTTTGTTTGGAAATAAGCACAAAGCTACAAAATGGGCTTTCTGTGCTCTGCCCACCACGGGATGTACTTAATAAAATTAAAGCATGGCGTAGCCTAGTGAGGTAGCGTGCTTGATATATAAACACGAAGGTCTACGGCGTTTTGCTGTAAAAAAAATGTTTCGTACTTTAGGGCCATCAGTGCGCGACAATAATGTCTGGCAAAAACCAGTATTCGGTCTGATAAGGGTAGACCAAGGCGTTATTGATAAATCTCTTGGTCTTCTTTCTTCTATTATACTCCTGTATTTTGTATCTTTTTCTCAAAAAACATGCCGAACACATCTCTTTCTCTTATATCAGATTACACAATCTTATAATCATAGGTGTTTCTGTAATCTCCACCATGGTTAAACAAGAAAGGCAGCAGATCCCTCTAATAACTTTGTAACGCCTTAGAGTGCTGTAATCCCTAATCCCTTAGGCACTAACCTAAAGACGGCCCCTTTTTTACCTCTTTCAACCCCAACCGATGTTCCCTACACTGAACTTCACAAAATAAAACATTATAAATCTTGACTTATTTTAAATATTTCCCATTTGACATGATTTCATTGTTTTTGTTTGTTTAAAAATGTTTATGCAAAGCTACATAAAGTACTATTCATAGTTTTCCTTGATCTCTTTAACTGATACAATGGAAGGAAGAAAACGTGTGAGAGAGAGAGAGGCAAAGGAAGAAAGAAATTATGATAGTAAGAAAGAAAACTTAGCTCTAAAGATATATGTTGTTGATTATAGTAATAGATGTCAATTTCTTACGTATAAGTCAATTCCCGATAGTTATAAATAGATAATAATAGTTATAAATAAAGGGAAGTACAAGTTTCGCACGTTTGTAAAAAGTGTTGTCAGAAGCAAGCGATCTAAAACAACGTGGTGTCAGAAGTGGGATTCATCAATTCGTTAGAATAGAAAAGTCAACTAAATAAAGCAGTGAAGTCAGGAGAAGAATGAGCTCTCTATTTCTTATCTTGCCTGTATTGGTTTTTACAGTAGTTCAGTTAATTATTTCTGGTTATACATTATGTGATTCATTGTTTATGAGTAGAAATATAACGCTAGCATGGACAATCACTGACAAAGAATCAATTGGTAAATAAATGTAGAACGTTGTGTATAACATCTAGTAGCAATTAAAAAAAAGGTGAAATTTTAATTGAGGTTAGAGTCACAATAAATGACTTTTCTAAACTTGAGCTTAGTGATAACACGGGAATTACGAGTGATGTTCGCGAAGGTCATCACGGCAATGAATTAGAACTTGCTAATATACAGTTAGAAATGAAACTCTTAAAAGCTGAGACGAAACGCTTTGATGTAGAAGCTAAAAATAAATGCTTAGAAGTAGAAGCTGAGATAAAATGTTTAGAGATAGAATTGGAAGCTACCATAAGCAGAGAGTGATATGCAATGTGATAAGTGGAAGGCAAGGTAATTCTGGAGATAGAGCTGGCATGCATGAAAAAAAGCACCTATGCGCAGTTGCATAAATTTTGCAAAATCGATACAATTGTTTTCATTTTTTGCTTTTGAAAAAATAACGAGTGCAGAAGAACGGCGGCCACTAGATATGGTGATGAAACTATTTCCTGCATTGCTTGGAAAGATGTTAGCAGCGTACTATAAGATTGGGAGATCATATGAATTAAAATGTGATGTAGTAAAATCAACTATTTCAGAGACGTATGAGTTAAGTCTAGATACTTATAGCATGAAGTTCAGAGAATTAGAAAAAAATGGCAAATGAGACATTTAAAGAGTATGTAACAAGACTGCATGAATTGCTAGTTAAATGGCTCGAAGGATTTAACTGTATTGGAGACACTGACAAGGTTGTAGATTTGATGTTACAAAAGCAAATTTTGACAAAGTTACTAATACGTTTAGTAGTATTGTTAAAAGATGGGAAGCCAGCAAAAGCACATGAGACAATGGTGTTAGCGGATGAATATTCAGTGACGAGGGAACATAGCAGGTTGAAATACCTAAAAAGTCAAACTGGATCTGCACTCTCTTTCTCTTGACCAATCAGAAGTGGAATTGACCAGAAAATTAGAATGCCCCGCAGCTAAAAGGGAAAGCATTCGTTAACGGGATTCTTGTCAAGTTGCATGAATCAAATTATGAATTAATAACATGTGAAGCGTATATGATATAATAGTAAACTATTACTGCAAATACAATTTGAGGAAAGAGGATAAAAGAAATAAAAATATCTTCTGTTTCGATTGTTTTCCAACTGAACCAACTTAAAAACTGACATGAAATTTTATATATCCAGAAAAAATAAACATATTTGTCAAAATTACACAGTTGAGCGTTGAAGCTTAAATAAAGTTCAATTACTTAAATTGCTACTGAACATTTACTCGTAATTCATGTAATTGAACTACAGTCTTGGCCAAAATGTCTGCACACTGCTCTATATTGTTGCATGGAGTAGTTACTGAGTAAATGGCTACTGAACATTTACTCGTAATTCATGTAATTGAACTACAGTCTTGGCCAAAATGTCTGCACACTGCTCTATATTGTTGCATGGAGTAGTTACTGAG